ATAGCCAAATTATAAATTGTGCTTCGCCTAAATACTCCGATTTGTTCAAAGTTCAAGAATTTTTTCTGTACAAAATTTGCTGGCCTGTTTTTCCAGATCTTATAAAAATCCTTGATTTGACAAAAAGGACATTTCTAAATTCTTGTCAGGGTCTTGGTCAGATCATGTTTTTAATCATTTCTCCACCCCAGAGACCTTTGTCGAGATGTTGAGCAGCACAATTTATAATTTGGCTATTTCACATTCAACAATATAAACTGTACATTTTAAAATACACTATACTTTTCAATGAATATAGTGGCAAAAAAATAAAAAATGTAAGTCGCAATTACCTATGAACATTTATTGCATTTCAAACATAACAAATGTTGACATTTCCAAACATAAAATCAAGGCTTCTTTTAGTTTAATATTTTGATATGAAGTCTGCTGATGCATTTATTCAAAGCACTCTAAGACATTGTTTTCTACAAGGTCATTTTGACGTGGAACAATAATGTTTGTTGATCTTAATTTCATCATCTTCACACTGCAGCACTATTTCCAACAATTCACCTTTTTTCAATCTTCCCTCAGCTCAGCTATAAAAAAATGCAGTTATTGTCTTTGTGCTTATCCCTGTGCAATAACTGCAAAGAGAAAGTGTCTGGCATATCTTTTAACTGCTGAGAGGGGTGAATTTAGAAGAGAAATGAAATGAAACATTCAATTAAGATGGCATCTGTCTGATATTTAGATATTATTTTCAAAGAGCAATCAACAAAACAAGGGTTACTGATGTCTTTTTTTATACGCTGCATTGATTTATTTATCACTTTAAGTATTTTGGATGCTATTTGTGGTGTTGCTTTGTACTGTGTGTTCTGTAAAAAAATGAAATAATTCCTTGAAATTTAATTTTTAAAATGATTCTCAAGCTGCCAGATTCTTTAGCTAGCAGCCTAGAAGTCTGAATGTACTCTGTAGATTGTTTCATTTTGCAAATATAGACATAATGTGTGGACTTTATTAAGGAGGTTGGACTCACAAAGGCCTTTCTCTCTAATTATTCTATGATTTCTGTTTTCCCAGGAGCTGACAGCACTTGCCCACTTGCCCAGTTTGAGAGAGTTAGCGCTGCAGGACCCCATGTCAAGTCCAAACCCGGTTTGTCTGCTGTGCAATTATGCCACACACGTTCTTTACCACAACCCAGGCCTCCATCGGCTCGACAGCTACAATGTCTCTGACAAGCAAGCCAAGGATGCAGCAGAGGTACTCAAAAATTAAATAAAAAAATACCCCAGCAGGTCTGTTTTATTAAAGTTTTAAATTCATAAGATTATTCCACCTAAACTTTCCAGGTTAATCAAATTCTTAAAAAAATAAAATGAAAACGCATGTTTCTTTTTTTTATTTGATTTGTCTGGACAAATTTGAGCCTTTTTAGTAATGATTAAGATACTTAATAGTACAGAATAGTAATAGATCTGATGTATTTTTAGCACACCTGTTATTTGATGCATTTTTTATTCTTTTTTGGCTTTTTTATTCAAACCTTTTCTGGTCTTTAGTCTGCAGTAATGAAGAAAACTATGTACTACAACATGCGTGTACGCTCTGCTCAGAGGAAGTTGGAAGAGACTCAGTTTAGACTGTTGGAAAGGAAGAAAACACTAATGCAGTTACCTGAAGAATGCATTAAGACCCTCAGTCGCACCCTCAAAAGTGTAAGTACCATTCATTAAATGCTTAGAAACTCATTGTGGTGTCTCTACTGAAAGTGCAGGATAAATTATATTTTATTACTTCCAACATGGACATACAGTTTTTATTTTTGATTATATTTGGTTACATTCTTAGCTTCAACGAGCGCACCCCATGTCGGAGGCTGAATCAGGAGGAACAAGCTACCTTGAGGATGGTTTAACAGAAAAAAGTGACTCAGCCACCAGTAGTCATGATCCTGCCGTGGAGCACAAAGTACTTCTTAAGATTGAATCGCTGAGGGAAAGATTGAACGTCTGGGCAAGAAGGATGGATGAGTTAGTTTACTTTGTCTCTGCTTTAGGACCAAATCAATCTATACATATCAGGATTTCACCCAAAGTCATGTTTTAATGTACAGCGACAATATTTGTTGTTTTATTTGTAGCATTGAAGCCTGGTATGAGCAAGAACTGATCCAAGCCACAACTCAGACGGGGTACACGGTACAGTTTTTACTGATGGAGCTGGAAAGTGTTGGAAACATTCGTTTAGAGGAGGGCTCCTCCACAGACCCTTGGTGCTCATTTAGTATCAGTATTAAATCCACAACCATCTTGTTCGTTACAGTTACTTTGAGGAAATAAAATCCATTTTTATTTGTTTTTTTCAACCAACAGGTTTACATATTGTTGCAACCTCCTGCTCTCCCGCTTCTCTCCATCAGATTACAAACGTTTTCACATCACTGACATAAAGATTAATAGAGTTTTACGCATCCACAACAGTACATTAAGGCTTCGCTTTGAGGACAAACTTCAGAGTCTTCTTGACAGCGAAGAATCTGCTTCGGTTTCACAGTGAGTAAAACTTGACTTCAAAGAAAAAGGCTTAAAAAGGCATTTTAAAGCCTTTACGCATTCAGTTTCAGTTTTACATCGTGACTCTAAAAACCCCTTTTAAATTAGGAATTACAGATGTCAACTGGATTATTTATTCTACCTAGCTGACCTTGAAAAATGTGAGAAAGAGGCGACTTTGTGCGCTTTAGAGGAAGGCTTTAAAACAACACAGCAACGAAAGGTGAGCGTGCTGCTGAAAAGAATGCACTCGCACAAGATTCACTAGTGTCGAGCAAATCGATTCCACTGTGAAAAGCTCAGTTCAAAACATGCTGAAATGTAAAATGTTTCCTTTTTTAATTAGACTTTTCAAAAAGAAGATGCTGTGCCTTTATCTAACAGCTTAAATATCACCGAACAGCCCAGAATTGAGTACCTGCTGCAAAAGGCCAGTGAGTGTGATTCCAAACAAAGTGCAGATGCAATTCCTTTCAGGCATGGTGAGTTAGTTTTATTTATATGCTTTGGTCATTCTATTTAAAATGCTAACCTTGAAGGGACTTTGTGCTTGTAGGTCATGTAATTGTGTGCAAAGTGTTTGTGGGTAACAGCATGCCCATCCGTGATAAAGAACTGCTGGACAGAGTCAGCCACCTCAAAATCTGCTCTGTGTATCGTAACGTGGACACCAAGCCTAACTCTCCAACAAATGATGGTATTTAGTGAAGATACTTGGCTTTACAGCTACTTTTACATTTAAACAAGGAAGTATTCTGTATTTCTTTGTTTTTTCTTTATATAGAGCGACCCAGCTCCGCTAAAACTCACCCAGACTGTGTTCCCCAACAAAGACAGTGGTTTGTGTTTGACCATGACCTTGTCCTGCCAGAGTACATTGTATATTTTGAGTACATCACTGAGGTAATTCATAATAACACTGTTATGCTACATGGGTAATATGTCAGCATACTTTTATACAAAACTTCTTGTTGAGTTTTGAAGATTTTCCTGCCCAAATTTAGGGTGAATTTAAGTCAGATGAATGAAATTGCTCAATTCTTCTGAAAATTACCCCCAAAAACTTTCAAAAGATAAAATAAAAAAATCAGACTTCTTTTCTTTTTATATTTTAAACTATAGCAAACAATTAAAAACATGCCATCCACTTTATCTTTACGTTTGAATGTGCGTTTTCTAGGATAAAGAATTGATTCATTTTGTCATCAAAGATAAAAATTCTAAAGAAAGTTTTCTGGACGAAGCCGCCCTCAACATGGAACCTGTCCTGAAGCCGCAGCCCAAGTTGTTGGGCTTGGATGATAAAATCCTGCTAAGTGTAGCCCAAGCGAATGTCCTCAGTCAGATCACTGTAAGTCCTCTGTGTTGTGAAGCATTTGGTTTTGAGGCCACTTCACACACTCAGTAACCTGTCACTGGTGTACTGAACCTGCAGGTGCTGAACCTTCACGACAACAATCTGAGCAAAATTAAAGCGGTTTCCAGTCTCAGAGCTCTGAGACATCTCACCATCAGCTTCAACAAGTTCACAAACCTTGGTGACCTTTCCCACATGGTAAATGTGACGATACAAGATTTTCTTTAGTTTTACAGTTTGTTTAAGGTCATACAAAGCGATTTGTTGTAGACAGTTTTGGACAGTGGTATGAAGTTAAAATGGTAAACATGTTGTGGTGTTTTTGCAGACCAACCTTGAGTTTTTGGATGCTAGCTTCAACCACCTAATGACTCTGGAGGGGCTGCGGGGATTGAAACATCTCAAAGAACTCGATGTGAGCTGGAATGAGTTGACCAAAGCTAGAGAAGATTCAGCAGTGCTGAGGAAACACACTCCTGTTTTGATGAAACTGGACACCAGATACAATCCCTGGAACAGGGTGTGTTGTGGTGAAAAAATGGAGATAAATCCATTTTTCATTTAAAGTTTTCATAGCCTAATCAATATTTATTGCTTGCTAAACATATGCATGAAGAAACTGTTGGAACTGCTAACAAATTTAAGGTGTAAAACACATGGGAATGTTATGTTTTCATTTCAGCCAGAGACGGTCAGATTAAATCTACTCAGCCGCCTCACGGCCCTCACTTACCTGGATGGAGTGCTGGTAGAAGAAGAGGAGGCTGCTGAAGCTGCTCATATGGCTATTAACCAAGTGAAATATTGTTTTCTTATGCAACTCAAATAGAAAATATATTTGTATTCCTTTGATCTTGTTTTAGTAACAATTTTATGTTTTGAAACCAATTGTTAAATGATTGAAACTCGATGTGATGAGCAGCATTTACATAGATGTGTTGACGTTGCTTTCAGGCAACCCTTCTGGCACACTCTCGGACCAAAAGCGACCGTCCCCGAAGTCTCAGTTTGCTGTCAACTGCACAGCTCCTCTCTCATTTGAACCCAGCACCCTGGGGACCTGGTACAGAACTGGAGCCAGACTGGGCTGCAAAGGTAAAAATCTTGCTAATATGAAAGCTATTGTGAAAAACAACATCTAAGAAATGTGACAGTGCTGTTTGTTATAATTTATACTCTTGTTTGTCTCATCTATTCTAATTTATTTTTGACTGTGGCCTTAAATTGACCAGATCACCTCCCTGAATCTTGACAATCAAAGAATTTCCAGGATTTGTAATATGAATGAGCTGGTAAACCTGCGTTGGGCATCTTTTAATAACAATGCCATCTCTAAACTGGAAGGTCTTGATCATTGCCTCAAGTTGGAAGAGCTTTTCATAAACGACAACAACATCAGCTCACTCAGTGGTTAGGCATACTCTTAACAATATATTTAAAATTACACTATAATATTTATTTACTTCTAACATTCAATAACACAGTAATCATTCTTATTTTTGTGTGGGCATTTGCCTTCTCTTTATATTAGGCCTGACAGAACTGCATTGCCTAAATAAATTGAGCATGGATAGAAATCAACTTTCCAGTCTGGGTGCCTCAGTTCTGGGTCAGCTTCCCAACCTGACTTTTCTGTCTATGGCAAACAACTGTATCACATCCCTGCACGGCATCTGGAAAGTTCGGTCTCTCCTTGAACTCTACATCGAAAGCAACCAGATTTCTTCATCCAGAGACATCTATTTTCTTAAAGTGAGAAATGCTGGTTTATAATATTCCCATCATTATCGTTGTGTTCTCTGAGCTCATAAGCTCCTTATTTTTTTCTCATCAGGGATTGGCAAATCTCATCATTCTGGATCTATATGGCAATCCTTTAGTGACGATGCTGGAAAACTATCGAATCTATGTCGTGTTTCATCTGCCTTCCCTTAAAGCTCTGGATGGAACTGCAGTGGTATGCTCCAAAGCCTGAAACCTTGCACAGCTCATATATTACAGTAGTCAATTTGAGTTTTTTGCTTCTTTTTGCTGTTCTCTCCAGGATTTAAGCGAATGTGAGAGTGCAAATAATATGTTTAAAGGGAGACTAACCACTGACGCAGTAGCAGAGAAGCTTGGCCACTCAAACTATGCAGACATCACAAATTTATCTCTGCAATCCTGCTCTATTAGGTAGGAACCCTATTTAAGACAAATAAAGACAACATGTGAAACATCTGAGAATGATCTTTACTTTTATGATAAATTAGATCTTTACAAAGCGTAAAAATCTACCTTTCCTCCATCAGGATGGTTGATCTATCTCCAGCAAACCTGTTTCATAACTTGCACAGTGTCAACCTAGAAAACAACAATCTCACCTCCTTCTCTGGCCTTATCCACCTGCCAAACATCAAAGTACAGACTGTTTGTTGCACACCTGCATGCATACTATATGGAAATAAGCTTTAGATCAATTATATATTTACATTATCATCCTTACAGGTTCTGTGTTTAAACCACAACCACATTGAGTCCATTCTACCCGTGCGCAAAACTCAGGCTCATCTGACAAAAAAGCGGATACTTTACAGCAAAGTCCACTCCAGTGGGTATGGCCAGCAGAGTCCATCCAAAGCCAACAGGTAATAAAAAGCTTTATTTAGTATTTTACTGTAATTCTCCCACAAGCTGTTGAAATTGGCCTTTAGAGGGCAGCACTGACCAGATAATGCATTTGCTGCCTTTTGACAGTTGTGCCATCATTTTTGTAGGTAGATTTGAGCTGAACTATATAAACTTAGTTGCAAACATAAATCATTTTATGCACTGAATTTTACAATATTTTAAATGTGAAAATACAGCTAAAATAAAAGTATGTTAAAGTCGGTACTTTGATGGAAAATATTGAAATCAATTTGTGACAGTCATTGTTTTTGTTTGGCTTGACTGTAATTGCTATGAGCTTGTGTGCACCTGTAAGGTCTGACCGGCTAAATGCAGCAGCAGGAGGGAGAATGAGATGTTCGTTTATCCCCAGAGGTTACAAAATGTTTGTCTGTAACTGTGTTTAAGGGATACTAGGCCCACCAGCAGCCTGGAGCCACTGATGGGAAGCCTGGAAGTGCTTCATCTGAGTCATAATGGCATCTCCAATATGGCCAATCTGCAGCTCAGCAGGCTCACCAATCTTAAAGCACTCTTCCTCCAAGGTATGTATGGCTCACGTACTACCCCTCCCTCTCAAAGCTGGTTTAAAGTGCGGTGTATGGAGCTTGTGAAAAGGCAAGCACCAAAAGAGCAATGCCTCCCATAGACCTAAGGCCAGGTGGATGATGAGACTTGGAAGAAAAGAACGTCTGACTTTCTTTTCAACAGCTTTTGATGGGTTTTGATTGAGCTTTGCTTTGTTTGGGGTGTTTTGTCCTAGAAAGACAACTTTACGGTCTTTTTTTTTTTTTCTTCTTCTTCTTATTTTGGAACATTTTGAAGGTTTTACAGCAGGGACAAACAAGAAACTTGCTTTTTAAACTGTTAAGGAAGTGCAGTTTACTATTTGCTTTTTGTTTTTAGGGCTATTACTTAATTATCTGAGATAAATATCTACTGTTTTAATGAAGTTTTATCTTTCTTTAGGCAATGAGATCAGCCAGGTGGAAGGCTTGGAAGGTCTTCTCCAGCTCAGAGAGCTTGTGTTAGACAGAAACCGAATTAAAACTCTGGGCAAAAATGCCTTTATAGCCCAAAATATCCTGGTAGAACTGCACCTTGCAGGGAACCGAATTCGGGAGTTAAATCATCTTGATCCTCTGGTTGACCTCCGCAAGCTCTTTCTCGACATGAACAAGCTACAGGTATTCTGTTTTTTTTTATGTTTATATTGAGAATTTTAATGAAATTGCAATTTCAATTAAACTACTTGAAAGCCACATAGCGCAGAGAATTCTTGGTGCGTTCAGGAAGGTCACAGTCACCTTTTGTACAGTTTTTGATTTACCACCAAGTTTTACTGATTGGTTCATATGTGTCAAATGTTTCAGAACGCGTTTTATTCAACATGCCGCAGTAATACTTTTCCCTGCATTTGCAAAGTAGGCATAAAGTATAGTAATCATGAGCTATTACCACCCACTGTGGCATGCAAGGGGTAGTATTAAGGAGAATCAAGTTTGATTGAAGGTCAGGGCTGTGTGTATGAAGAAAGAGAGGAACAATCAGGACAACGTGTAATCAGCTTCTCAGTCTGCATCTCCTCACCCAGGGTGAGTGATTTGCACTTTTGTTGCCAGTTCCTTCTTTCCTTCACTTCCTTAATATTTTCCTGCATTCAATTAAGACTTAAAATACAGCAATCATCCCAGAGCATCGGCCCTCGCAGTGGGGGCGTCTTTAAAGCTGGGAATCAAAGAAAACATCCGCGTGTCCTGTTGCGTGCCTTGTTGCGTGCCTTGTTGCGTGCCCAAACTCTTTCATGAGATTAATGCAAGCTCACGCATGTAATCTCTCCCATCAGCAGCCTCCATCCTCCCAACTCCAAAATTCTGAAATGTTCTGCCCTCATACATATGTGTCCATTATCACCACACAGCAGGCTGGAATCAGTGGGGAGGAGTAGTTAAATGACAGGGCAGTGACTAAGAGAATGAAAACTGTTGTTTTTTTCTACTTTGTGCAGGACATGTCAGAGCTCAACAAACTAGAAGTTCTTCCCTCTCTGACAGAGCTTTCTGTGGTTGGCAATCCAGTGAGTATTACTGGGTTTTAGTTTGTCCACTAAACCCAATTAAGTATTATAAACTAGTAGAGATTATTATCCCAGTATTTTTTCTTTCTGTAAAGCTTTCATCGTGAAGTGAATCCACAGTTACAGCTCACTTTGAGGGCTTTTGACTCGCAAATAAAATGTCCAAAGCATGATTATAAGCTCAGTATCTCACTTGCAAAATCCCAAACTCTAAATTAAGTGATTATATGATGGGCCGTCTGCTGAGCCTCAAACAAGCTGGCATCAAACACCATTTTGCTGACCAAATGGCAGGGCACTGTTGCCCCAATGCATCACCCATCTGGAGCTCATGGTTCAAGCCTGAGCAGAACCACGGCACAGGGCTTCTCTGTTATCCACAGGGTAATGCTCAGCTGTGATATACTCTTTACTGCTTGACCCCATCCCCCTTCCCTTCTAATGGGATGAAGTAATAATTCTGCCAAAGAATGCAGGCCAACAGTGACCCTGGAGACAATACTTCCTGCTGTTGCTCCTTCTTCTATGTTCTCCAACCAAAGCCAATCTGCTTCTTTCCTGTGGACTTTCTGTAGCACACACAGAGCAGTAGGAACATGCATGTGTCTCTTGGCCAGAGCATGTCCTCAGCTGGAGATAGACCTCTCTGCTGCTATCAGATGGGTCATTCAAACAGCTGCTGGGAATACGGTAGCTGTGCTGAAGCACACACAGCATCATATTGGTCCCATATGTCTCAAAGCAAGGATTTACCATTCAGGCTCAAATATATTTTAAAAAGATGTTGGATTTGATTTAAAAGCGTTGGCTTGTCACAACTATCTTTTATCTTGTCAAAACTTTTTGTCCTTTTCTTTCTTCAGGTTGCTCGTAATTCTCTCCACAGACCAGCCTTAGTGCTGCGTCTGAATGAGTTGCAGGTCCTAGATGGAGTGTTGGTCACGTTGGAGGAACGAACCAGTGCTGATGAAAAGTCATTTGTGAGAGCAATGGCAATATTGTAACTAAGAAGCACGTTTGCATTTACACATAACTGCACATTTGTGCGCTCATAATCTTTTATTCATTTTATTTAACTTTTGGAGTAATACGTCTTTTAACTGTCTCCAGGTGATGAGAATGAACAGGGAAGCAATATTAGGACTAATTCTGTCTAAATGCTGTATGTTGTTCGACAAATCTAAAACAAATATTATTCTTTTAATATAAGGTTGGACTGCAGAAGGCCATCAATTTAACTCACAAAAAGGGACTTTGTTTGAGCAAAACTGACAGAAACAAGATTTAGTGACCAAGCTAAAGTCACAAAATAAAAGGAAATCCTGCATCAAACTGTTTCAGTTTGAACTGATATTCATGTAATGAGAAATTGTGGCTGTAATTCTCCTACATCTCTGAATTAAAAGCAGTAAGCCTGCTTGCATCATCCTGCTGATTAGATGAAATGTGCCTGGCCGATAATGCACCAGTGGATTTACAGCGTATTAGCCATGTCAAAGCGACCCCCTCTGCTTGTTAATCGTTGAACTGGAAATGACAGAACCGAGATCTCGTGTTTTTCATTAAACGCGCAGACCTTTCTTTAGTTACTCCTATGAATGCCATTTATCACTCTCATTTTTTGCCTGCAAATGCTTTTCTTGAAATTAAACCTTGTTTGTGATGAGCAGTAATTACTGCTCTCCTATAAGATGCTTATATATGTGGAACAACAAGCAATCTAATCACCGATCCCCTGCCAAATGTATGGGTGGAGGGGAAGCATTGCTCTGACTGTGACTGACATAGGAGGAAAGAAAATACAATCATGTAAAAGTCAGTGAGGTCAGATTTTAAGCCAACCCTGGAGACACTAGCGAGGTCATTTGACATATTTTAACTTCTAACTTTTTTCTCTTTGTGTTGTTAATGCTCATTTTTTTTATTTTAAAGCAAAGCTGTCAGCACAGTGGATCAGCTTTTCCTACCACCAAAATTAACCTACCTGAACTGCTACCCCTTCTGCCTCATAACATCACTCTAAGAGGAATTTTAAGCGCAGGACTACCAAATTTTATGCGTGATACCCAGACTGGTAATGCAGATGAGAACCAATACACAGACAAATGTGAGTGCTGCATTCAAAAAATTAAATTTAATGATGAATACTATGCTTAAAATAAAGATTCTCATTGTTTGTCATTTGGTGGATATATATTTTTTGGCATGTACATTCTAGTTTAGGTTGATACTAATACTTCTGACACTCGTTATATATTGATTTCTATACCAGACAAGAAGCATAACATCAGTAATGTTGGTCAAATCAGTCAAGCGAACGTTAACTTGAGACCCAGCCGAAGCACAGGAAGCTATCTGCCAACCCTGGAAGCTCTGTCTTATGGGAACAGAGAGGCCAATGATGCCCGTTTCAAACAACAAGACAACAGGTTGTTAATGGATAAAAATTATATGCGGTGAATATGTTTTTTACAACACTCTTTAAATAATAAATTAATGAATAATTGCAAGAAGATTGCTTACAAATTTATTGTCTTCCAGATTCCCATATGGTGGCAAACATCCACCCATGTAGCAGTGAGACGAGATGGAGCAGTCTGAGATCAGAACCTTAGGTGAGAACACACGCCTCCAATGAATATTTTGTTATGATATCCACAGTAATTTAGTTCAGTTCATTTGTATAGCGCCAATTCACAATAGTTATCTCAGGGCACCATTCAAATACAAATACAATAAATTTACTGTAATTGTATTTGAATGCAATTACAGTCAATTCAAATCATTTATAAAATGAAACAGTCACTTTCTCTATATGGCAAAATGCCAGTTTGTAAAGCCATAATATGTTATTTCTATAATTTAGCCCATATGGATTCTGTTTGTTGTTCAACCTGTCAGTATGTATCTAACAGTTTATTATTGAAAATATGTTTTGCTCTTTGAAATATAGCATAATTTAAACCTAAACTACTTTCAGTCTTATAAATTAGGCAGCTTGATGCAGACATGCAATCTATTCCTGTCAAAAGCATTTATTTAGACTGCAGCTTCATTTTCTCTTTGCATATGTGAATCACTAACCATGGTAATCTGAGGATGAGAGGTATTGGTGTCATTTCAACTGCTGTCCCATCCTTTGCCCTAAACAAGTAGGGGGGGAAAACACTCACAGATGTAAGAGTGTGAAGCCGGCATGCCTCATCCATTGGGTCAAATGCATCCCCAACAAGTGGATAATCCAGCTTTAGAACACCTCTCTGTGGACAATAATCTGCAGTCGCTCAGATAAAAATGTAATCTTGAACAAGGTCCAAATGGATTGCAGAGATTGTCGGTTTCATCGTGTTAGCCTCTTTTAGGAAAGCCAACAGCAGTTTTGTCCTTAATGGGCCAAATCATGCGAGATGCAACTGGAAGTAAACTGATGATAAACTAATATAAACCTCCATGTTTCTCTGTTTGTTTATGCTTGTAGTAGATCAAACTTCAGTTTAGTTGTTCATTATAATATTTTGCTCATGACCATTAAACTGAACCATGGAACTGGACTGATAATATAACCCATATGGTGAGACATCAATTTTAACCCAAGAAACAACAAAACTCTTTAAATTTAACTGTCTATTTTTATGCGTTCTGTGATTTTATCAGCATACAAAGGGCAGATTTTTTATTTTTTTATTAACATGCTGTATCTGCTGATCAGTGTTGTTAACATGACCACTAGGTGTCCTTAGAACTCTATCGACACCGCTAATGAGCTCTGAATTAATTTTTCTCTTCCTCTGTAGGTAATTCATTAGTTGGAAGAGGATGCTGTACTTCAGTTTTGTATCTCCTGCCCTCGCTCAACGTCCGAAGCCACAGCCAGCTCCACGCAGGAAAAATAAAAAGCTCTCCTCAAACAAGCTTCTCTAATGCATGTACTTAACTTCACTTAATTTGTTTTAATTCCCAGCATTAAGCGGGGCTAATGACTTCGCAAGTGAGTGCACTGCCATTACCTTTCTCTGCCTGACATCAAATGGCAGCTGATGGACTCAGGACACAGATTTGGGAGCTCAGTGTGAGTGCTCTAATGCATTAGGTATTGCAAGGGATAATTACACATTCCATATTTGTGTACAGTATGTGCACCATGGATGTTATAAATATAACTTCTTGTAATTCTGTTGTGGGTGTAAGCTTATATTGAACATACCACTTCACGGAGTATGTTGCAAATCTACATATCTGTCAGTATTTCTTACATTAAAATGACATTAGCATAAAAATGTGAATAATTCATCACCTTAGTGAACCAGATGCACTGCTCTCTGTGTCTTCCTCCCTCTTTTTTTCTGCCACGTGAGCAAACCACATGGCTTGTAGCTGGTTTAATGGGATAGAATGTGACAGGTTATGTTTTCATCGGCCTGATATGGAGCGTGGCTCGAGCAGCAGGGACCGAAAGGGAGAAGAGGAGACGGTGTCAGGGGGAACTGAGTCAGTCTCCACACTTGTAATCTAGATTCATAATTAGAGATGTTTGTGCTTGTTGCAAGTCAGTTATAGATGATGCCCCTCTCCCCTGGTAGACTCCTCACAACACATGCATACAAAGAAACACAAGCGCTGTATGGGGCCATTACTGCTGGTCCAATAACTCTGCATTTGCTGTGTCTGTGCATTCAGAGTACCATTAGTTCAAGACTCTGTGAATAATTGCTGAATAGAGCATGTTATCATTGCTATATACTCAAGGTCCGGTTTTAGGAGGTGTGATAACCTAGAAGTTTGATGGTAACACTAATTATTGTGGAATGCTTATCAAAGTGCTACATGGACATCTTTACATTTTGCAAGCAGAGCTGCTTGAATAGAGGCCACAATTTCATCATCACTTGTGAAAATGAACTGTTTGGCTGCTGCTCATGTCCCTCTGCAAGTCATCAACAAACTCTAAATTGTTTTGTCTCCAAAAGCTTCATATTATGTCCTAAGTTTATTTTCTTTTATTCTCACAAATACATCCTGTCTTGCCATATTGCTTCTTTTGAAGTCTGTCATCGAATTATTGCAGCCGCCTGTCATTTTCCTGTAATTTGTTTCCTGTGGAATAAAAAGCGACTGGGCACGAACAATTAGGATGAACAGGAAAATGCTTCTTTTTGTGTAGACATTTTGAACGAGAGCAAACCTCATAGAAAAATAAAGCCTTAACTACTTTTCATTTCTGACCTTGTGTGTCATTTATTGCATTATTGAACTTGTGTGTCATCCATCACATTATTTCAATCACACAAAGTGCATTGTCTGTGTGAAATAGGAAAAGGTTAACAGAAAAGCTCCAAATGTACCCCTTCTTGCAAATTCAACTGAATCAATTTTTGACTAATTTGTCAGATGATAGGGTTTTGGACAATTTGCCTCCTGATTTTAATGTATCATTAGACTTGGAGTATGTTTTTTCTTTGATGACTTAAGTGTTGTGTTTTACTTAAGCTTTTGTAAGGGAGGATTACAATGCATAATACATGTTGTCATGACTGACGGGCTTTTCTTTGTAATAGTTTATTGTGTTCAACACCCACCAAGTAGAAATTGCTTTTCAGGATGACAAGAAAACAAAACTCCTGTCTTCCTACTCAATCCCAGTAAACAACAATTTATTCGCCTTGGCTCCTTATTGATAGCTTTTTTTGTGTTAATATTGTGGCCTTTGTAGTGATACCCCCCTTTTACCCATTTTTTCTTATTAAATGAGCATTTTCTAGAAGCACACGTGGCCAACATTTCTTTAATTCAATTAGAATATTAGGTTTCTTGTACAATTTGTAAATTTTTGTGATAAAACCACAATAAGAAGAATTTAGATAGTAGTGTTTATAATCCTGTATTTATTTTGAGGGCTGAAAAGACTGGCATATATCTATTTTAACCTTTTTTTGTAGGAAAAAACAATAGGTTGCCACACTTTATGCATTTGTAAATGTAAATATTGTTTACCTTTTTTTTTTGTTTTCATCAGCTATTTTATTGAATTTTATATTTGTTCAAGTGGCATTAATCTAAATATGGTATATTTAAAATTACGTTCTGTGTGCGATTCCCACTCAGAAATTGATAGCTGCAATAAAAGTTTTTAATACTATATAAAACCATTTTAGGAGCACAAAGTTGAGAGCCTATTTGTCATATGAAATATTTAGAATAACATTTGGAAATTATTCTTCAATTTATTGTATACTATTTCTTCAATACAAATAAATTAATTATTCCTTTTTTAAATAAAGAAAAGGTACAAGTGAGATTTTGTGTTCCATTTATAATTGACGGGCAGTTCGCTATCATGTAAAGGGCGGGACTAATATAACGTAAGCCAATCAAAACCCTTGCTACATATCTACCCTTCTCTGATTGGTCACAATCTGACCGTGTGTATCTTCCCTGACGTTTCTTAGCTTTCTAGCGGTTAGCTAGCAGCTAATGTTAATCCTGACATTTTTGGGCCCTTTTTCTGTAAAATATTTTCAAATACGCCGTGAAGCACACAACAAAACTGATCTGCTTTTAACCACCCTGCTGTTCACGGTAAGCTCATCTAACACGGTTGCCAACCATATATTTACCTGCTAGTCTAAAGACCTAGTGCTGCTTTTTTAGGGTTTGTGCGTTAGCTAATAGAAAACAGGCAAAACCTCGTTTAGTAAAACTCTCGGTTTAGTTTTGTAAGGTAAGTTGTTTTTTTCTTCCCCTAGCTAATTGCAAAGTTAGCATGAGCTCTCATTAGCGCATCCACAAGCCCTGTGTGTTGTGTTCTCCTAGCAACATTTCGGCGTCCTTTTGTCATACACAACTAACGAGTATGCATAGTATTTTATAAACTAATATATGCTTACAAGGATTTTACTAGGAGTGAAAAGTGCCTGCTCCCTGAATATGAACAGTTGTACAAATGAGTATTTTCAGTGTGACAACAGACCTACTCTTCCAAGTTTAGACGGTAAGATCAAGAACACTGGAACTCACATTTTCTGTTTTATCTTTTTAATAATGGTTGTTTTAAGTTGTATAACTAGCAGAAGGTCAGGTTTCACTTTGAGTGCAGGCACATCGAAGTTGAAGATGGTTGAAATGTCTAAAAAAGGTATTAAACTAGACTTCAACAAACACTTTTTAGGCAGTGAGCTAGAAATCTGTGACTTGAAGACTTTCATGCTTTGCTGGTTCTTTATGATAATTGTACAGTTAACAGTTTATGTACCTTACGTTGTGTCTTAAGGTCCATTTCTTTACATTATAAAAACCCTAGGTTTGCTTTTTTTCAATATGTATTATTTTACCTGGATTTTATTTTCAAATGGAATTATCTGCTTTAGCTCTAAACAAGGTGATCCAACACTTGTCTTACCAAATTTATTAAAGAAGCTAGACTTTTAGGATCCTTGCAGTTTGCCAGTGTTGAAACATTTCTTTTGTTATTCGTCCTTTTTTTAATTCTCCTTTGCTTTCCCTTTGCAGAGTCCTCTACGCTTGTGATGATGAATGGAAACCCTCCTTTTTCTGCTGTGTGGAGATGACCTGCTACCCTTTCTGGAATGGTCAGAATGGGGCCAGATGTGCCCCTTCTTAATGAGTACAAGCAAGAATTCTTCTGGAAGCGCTTTCCTCAGACAGTGTTGGGAGGTCCACGTTTCAAGTTAGGGTACTGTGCCCCACCATATGTATACGTCAACCAAGCAGTCTTGTTCTTGACTCCATGGCTTTTTGGGGGTATAGGCACTCTGCTCTGCCAGCTGCAGCTGCTTCAGGAGCTCCATGCTGCCATGCTTTCTGGGATGCTTATGTTTGCGGCTGCGGCAGGTGTCCAGGCCCTGGCACTGTATGCTGCTCGCAGGAGTGGCGCAGTGGAGAGACTCGGCGCACCCAATATTCTGGTTGATGAAGAGGAAGTGGAATTTACAAACTGTGTTAGCCCAGAGACGCTTAGATTCATTGCTCCAGGGAAGCGGTTTGGCCTTAACGTGGTGCTGCATTCAGTTTTAGCTGGAGTTCTCTGCAGCTTTGGGACTTGGTATGTGTTCCTGGGCAGACTGACAGCTCTCTATGGCAGCATTGGTGTATCCCTTGTAGTCTTTATCATCAGTTGGGTGACTCTGTGTATAGCTGAGTATTCCCTCATTGTAAATACGGCCACCGAAACAGCCACTTTCCAGGCACAGGACACTTATGAGATCACCCCACTTACCCGTCCCCTCTACATTTCTATTTTCATCGTTGTGGACATGGTTGATAGGTGAGCATGAACAAAGTAGGGTTTAATATAAGAAAACCTGGTATGCGTTATAGTAATAATGATAACAGAACTGTTTTGTTGGTGTGTAGGTTGTCGAGCCCTGTGCTTGAGCTTCAGCTTGCCAGCCAGATACTTCATGTGCTCTTTCTTTTCCTTCCTCTGCTGTGGGCACTGGGTGTACTGCCACCCCTGGATGCCCTGCTCTTCTGGGGCATGGAGCAGGTTCTTGTGTTTGGCTTAGGAGGCTCACCCATGTCGAGCAATATCAGGTATGTTACAATCTGTATAATATAAATGCACTACTTGTTTGTACTCTTGATTTTTCTGTAAAATATTTTTATTACATGCGCTGCGATAGCTTAGGCTTTTTTGTATATTCACTTGTCACTTTATAATGCATTTTGTTATTTTTTTATGTGGTGTTTTTAAGAGGCTTATTTTAAGTTTACCACAAGATCTTGCCTTTTCTAACTATTCCTTGTCAAAATGTAACGCATGTATTTTTTACAGAAGTGTCAGAAACCGACACAAGGTTAAATCTGTCATTTTGTGTGGAACAACTCATATTAGTCTTGTTAGTCTAAACTGATAAGTCTTAACATTATCTTGTTTTTCACCAGTCTTGAATCTTTTTGTGTTTCTTATCCAACAGGCTGCTCTTGATGTTTGGTGTATCCACCAGCGTAGCTATCTGTAATTACTTCATTCCATCAACACTGGGTGTGGTTCTCTTCTCCGTCTCTACTGGATTTCTGCTGAGCCTGGACCTCAGTCAAGTTGGCACGCTCTGCAAAAGTCCCAGAACAACCTTCAGAAACCAGGGATTGCACAGTGGAGTGTTGCCACCTTTTCTCCCTACTTCCTTTGGCTGGAATTTAGGCTGCAGGGAGCTTCTGGTGTATTTAAGTCTCCTACTGGTAGCAATGGCAGAGGCAGGACTGTTGCATCACTTCTTTGGTTCAGCTCAGTCCCAAAACATGGTTACAGGACCCCAAGGTCCTGCCAGCTACCTCCTCATAATACTCTTCTTTACCTGCTGCTCTCTAAGAGAGATCCAGGGAGCATATCTGTTCGGAGGGATGTTTCTTAATCCCCTTTATCCTAAAGGCATGTCTAACGGGCAAATATTTAAGCAAAAGAACAGGGGGTTGTACATAGCTGCTGCAATCAGAAGAGTCCTTCTTTATCTTGGTAAGCTTGTGATAATATACAATTTTGAGTTTTTAATCTTTTAGGTGTAGAAACTGCTATATGTGAATCTCTTTTTGTAAACGTGACTGACCATTTGATTTACTTCACAGTGTCTCCTCTTGCAATGATTGCTTTTCTGTCTATGGACACATCTCTGCAGTCACTACACAGGGTCTCCATCAGTGTGGGATTCACACGAGCCTTTAGAGTGGTATATTCACATTCACGTTTCATATACCTGTGTGAACATAGCGTTCAGAACGTCTCTAGTATCACTGATTGTTTAGACTTGTGGCAGATTCTCCCAGTTTAGCTAAAATCTCAAATTATTTTCTTTAATATACAATAAAAAAAAATGTGCCAGAGAACAACTGGCTTTTTATTTATTAACAAAGTCTTCTGATTAGTTCCCAAATGTTGTTTTTTTTTTCTTGCAGGTGTGGCAGAGCTCAGAGGATGCTCTGATGCAGATGGTAGTAGTGATTTTAGTGCGGTTTGCAGGTGGAAACAATTTGCTGCCAGGATGGGACAACTTGGGAACTGGAGTTCAGCTTCTCCTGGTGAGTTTAATATAAATCCAACATTTCCACCCATTAACAAATCATTAAATTTATCATCATTTGATCAGGTATAATCGCCTTTGTTTTGGATCTAGGTGGGCCTTCTGATTGACAGGCTGAGCCAGTTCCTGTCCAAACTAAAGTTTACCCTCACTGTGTTGGTGACATCTTGGACAGAAAAGAAACAGCGTCGTCAGTCAGCTGGAACTCTCCTGGCTCTGAACGCATCCCTGTGGCCGCTGGTGTTAGCAGTGGTGACTCTCTCTGCCCTGCTCTCTGCCCCTTTGCTTCCTCTCTTCACTTTGCCCATCTTTCTTGTGGGATTTCCCAGGCCTCAGCGTAGTTGGCCAGGTCCTGTGGGCACTGCCTGTCCCTGTCCAGACTCGATTTTCTACCAGCAAATGAGTGGAAGTCTGGCCTCTGCATTAAGGACAGCCTTCGCAAGAGGATCACTTGGTTAGTGGGTTATGATCAATTTTTCTCTTTCTACCATTTTATTTATTTTGGGTGAAAAAAACAGAGCTGGTGCCAATTATTATTATTTATTTTTTGTGTGTGTGTATTTTTTTAGAATCCAAAAGGAGAGCCAATGTGTTTTAAACTGTATGAAACTATGAAATTACATTTTCAGATTGTACACAGATTAAATGAATAGGAACTAAATGATCCAAAATCCATAATATAAAATTAAACCTGATATCTTAAAGGCTTGGGTATTTAAGTTTGTTTACAGGCTGTGGTATTCCTCTTCATTTTACTGTGCTTTTTAAATTCCACTGTAGCACAAATACCAGTCTGATAAGTGCACATAAGAGTTCTTAACAGAGCTTGTAATATAATTTTATTTATTTATTTGCAACAGTGCGTTTTCGCTTCTTCTGTAATTGCAGTGACCTCACTTTCCTTTGGGTCAAGTGAGGGCTATGCAGATCAAAGAGCACTGAAGCTTCTCATGTGGTTAAATAGAAGAAAAAAATCTGTTGTGAGCAGCCATTTTTGAGTACTGGCAGCAATACAAGCTTACATCATCAAGTTGAGCTTCCTGTGAAGTGACCCAAAAAAAAGCCCAGATCTGTATTCATTACATCCAAATGTTTCCACAACATTAACTGCATAATACTCCAAGGGAAAAACTGCTCTGCTGCTAGGATTTTTTTTTTTTGCGCTCTATCAGAAAAGGGTAAAAAATAAAACAATTGTGCAAGAGAAACCCTTTATTGGTGGATAAAATTGTATATGAAAATGCTAAGGTGATATAATCAGTCAGTCTTGTTGTTTAGTGTAAGCTTTGGAAGCTGTAGACATCGTGTTTTATTTAGAATAGTCCCTTGTTAGGTCGATGCTCAGTCAGATGATGGCAGTTCGGAGCATCCTTTTTGCTTTACTCACACTGGAGGCCATGGAGCAGTGAGCAGGAAAGTAATCTGCCCAGTCTGTCACTTTACATCATGAGGTAGCTATTCTGAGATGTCATTATGGGACGCAGCTTTATCCTTGAGCCACACAATCACTAGTCATAGTAAAACGAAAACCTCCTTCACCTTGCCGCTGCTGCAGATCTGATCTGAAATAAGTCTGCTTTCTGTCTCTAGAAAGGAAATGCCTACCATGTATTAAGAGGAAAAAAGTCTTTGAGACTAAAGGCAAGATAAGGAAAATAATAGTTTTAATGTTTGGTCTGTGCAGTAGTAAATCAGTATTAACCTTCCTCTTTCTAGTGTAATAGTTCACATCTTAAAGTAGCTCATAGTGTTGCCATGTTGATCTGCAGACATATTGTGTTATATACATGTTTGTTTGTTTTTTTCCCCTTTAGTTGACCTTTGTTCATATATTACAACTTATATTTCTGGTAAATGGGCACCGATAATGTGATGTTCTCTGTATTTTCAGGTTCTTTAGCTCCAGGATCTCATTTCCTTGGACGGTTTCAGGACCGTATGGTTTGGATCATGATTCTAGAGAGAGGATATGGCTACTGTACTGTCAACATCAAGGTACATTGTCATTCAGTCCTTTTTGTGTTTCAAGACATTTCAGCCACTTACTAGCAAAATGGTATTCTTTAAGGGGTTGTGGTTTGTTACAGGGTCTAGAGCTGCAGGAGACATCTTGCCACACAGTGGAGGCGCGGAGGGTGGATGAAGTGTTTGAGGCTGCTTTTGAACAACCGGAGCGGCTTGGCTTCACGCAGGGCTTTAACCTGCATTGGGGAAATGCCCTCACCCCTTGCACTGCAATTGCTGTACAAGTCTACTCTGATGCCCGAAACGTCCTCTCTGGTATCATCGACTCTCATGAAAACTTGAGGAAACTTCAAGACGACTTCATGAAAGCTCTGATCTGGTTGCTCCTGCGGTACTGTGTGCAAAGGCATAAAGGATTTTTGTGGAGCCTTGACGAGGGTTCAGTGAGTGGAGTCATAAAGTCCCAGTCTTCACAGTTTGCTCAAACAACTTGCAACCAGCCATCTGAGGCCATTATGGTCGAATCCAACGTGTCTTCTTACAGGCTCAGGCAGGACAGTTCTAGTTTGACTTCTTTTGGAGACTGGTCAGATGAGGATGACTTATTTGGACCACAACCAGCAAGACGGACTGTGGCATTAGTCACAGCAGAGGCCCAGCCTGGACACTCAACCCTGCAGATAGGAGCCTCTCTGCCAGGCTCAGTAGAAATGGACAGTCTTTTTGAAAACATGGCTCTCTCTGCTCTGCAACCACTGCAGCCTCTTGGACTTAGTATTGGGATGCCAGCTGTAGATAAAGGCAGAAACCCAGAAGTCCTCAGAGAGAGCCCTCATCTGAAATTTAGCTGTCCCCAATCTGAGGTATTCAACCTGCCACTAGGGTGGAGGACGGCACCATTACTCCCATCTCGCTTGCTCTCACTTAGGCCTTTATTTCCAGAGGAGTGGTTTCGATTTACCTTGGGCCGCTTTGGGCAAGCTGTGCAGGGGGAGACCTCAGAGGACATGACTAAAGCCCTCAAGGAGGATGAGGTCCTGAAAGAACTGCATGTTAAGGTTGCACTTTCATGTCTCATTTCTGTGGGAGCAGAAACTTCCTTCACCAGTCCTAGTTACATCTACAGGCTCTACTGTGGAGATGTACCATGGACTGAAGGACTCGACTGGCTGTCCTCAAGCAAAGAACTTTATCAGCTCACACTTCAGGCGTTCAGGTAAAATTGTTCATGATCTCCATTATTTATTTTGATCACAAAATTTACCACTTCATTTATCTTCAGGTTTAGTTTCAAGCTGCTGTTTGATCAGGCAAGCCTTGGACCTATGGAGTCCC